ATGCCTAGCTAATTTTTTTTTTTTTTAGTAGATGAAGTTTCACCACATTGGCCAGGGTGTTCTCAAACTCCTGACCTCAGGTAATCCACCCGCCTCAGCCTCCCCAAGTGCTGGGATTACAGGCGTGAGCCACTGTGACTTGCCCCAGGCCCATTTTTGTACTGTCTTTTCATATTATCTTATTTTTCTGTTATCCTTTTTTTTTTTTTAATTAAAATCTTCCCTACTTGTTCTTTTACAAGGGCATTTTGGCTATTACTGGCCTTTTAAATTTCTGTACACTTTTTTTTCGAGATGGAGCCTCACTCTGTCACTCAGGCTGGAGTGCAGTGGCATGATCTTGGTTCACTGTAACTTCTGCCTCCTGGGTTCAAGCGATTCTTCTGCTACAGCCTCCCAAGTAGCTGGGGACTACAGGTGCATGCCACCACTCCCGGATTATTATTATTATTTTTTTTAGTGGAGATGGGCTTTCACTATGTTACCCAGGCTGATCTCAAACTTCTGACCTCAAGTGATCCACCTGCCATGGCTTCCAAAAGTGCTGGGATTACAGGAGTGAGCCACTGAGCCTGGCTGTGTACATATTTTAGAATGAGCTTGTTAAGTTCTACACCCCAACAAAATTGGGATTTTTATTGGAATTCCTTTGAATGTATACATGAATTTGGGGATAACTGACATTTTTATAATATTGAAACTTCCATTCTCTGAACATGGTATATCCCTTTATTTGTTTAGCTACTTATATAGGTATTTAACTTATCTCAGTAAGATTTGTTTTTTGCATAAAAGTCTTGCACATCCAGCCAGGCGCGGTGGCTCATGCCTTTAATCCCAGCACTTTGGGAGGCCGAGGAGGGCGGATCACGAAGTCAAGAGATCAAGACCATCTTGACCAACATGGTGAAACCCCATCTCTACTAAAAATATAAAAAATTTGCCAGGCGCGGTGGCTCAAGCCTGTAATCCCAGCACTTTGGGAGGCCGAGGCAGGTGGATCACGAGGTCAAGAGGTCGAGACCATCCTGGTCAACATGGTGAAACCCCGTCTCTACTAAAAATACAAAAAATTAGCTGGGCATGGTGGCACATGCCTATAATCCCAGCTACTCAGGAGGCTGAGGCAGGAGAATTGCCTGAACCCAGGAGACGGAGGTTGCGGTGAGCCGAGATCGCGCCATTGCACTCCAGCCTGGGTAACAAGAGCGAAACTCCGTCTCAAAAAAAAAAAAAAAAAAAATTAGCTGGGCATGGTGGCATTCTCCTGTAGTCCCAGTTCCTCAGGAGGCTGAGGCAAGAGGATCACTTGAACCTGGGAGGCTCAGGTTGCAGTGAGCTGAGATTGTGCTACTGCATTCCAGCCTGGTGACAGAGCAAGACTCTCTCTCAGGAATAATTAAAAAAAAAAAAAAAAAAGCCTCATATATCTTTTCTCTGTTTTCTAGGTATTTGGTAGTTTTTAGGACATTATAAATACTATCTTTTAAAATGTTCACTTTATGCAGTGACTCATTTCTGTAATCTGGGAGGCCAGAGCAGGAAGATTGCTTGAGCCCGGGAGTTCAAGGCCAGCCTGGGCAACTTAGTGAGATCCCATCTCTACAAAAATTTTCTTTTAAATTAAAATGTTAATTTTAAACAGTTTTTGTGGCTGTGTGCAGTGATTCATGCCTGTAATCCCAGCACTTTTGGAGGCCAAGGTGCAAGGATCACTTGAGCTCAGGAGTTCGAACCCAGCCTGGGCAACATAATAAGGCCTCATCTTAAAAAAAAAAAAAAACCTCATCTTTACAAACAAAAAACAAAAACTTTTTGTTATATAGAAACAATTCATTTTTATATGGTGCCTCTATAGTTTAATATAGGATTCCACAAACCATGGTCACTGAATCCTGCCTGCTACCTGTTTTTGGAGGCTCATAAGCTAAGAATGATGTTTATATATGTACATATGTGATCAATTTGATGATGGGGAGGGAGCATGAACTGTGAACCGCAGTTGGGTGAAATCTTAGACTCCAAGAGAAGAATTTCATTTTTCTCATTTGTAGCCCTCCATTATATAAAATTATACTCAAATACTGTAATTTTCATCCACAAAATAGGAAATTTGTTTTCTCTTATGTTATATGGGTATCTATATAATATCTACAGTTTTGCCTCTTGTTCTACAAAGCCTGTTACATTTACTACCTAGCTCTTTACAGAAAAATTGGCTGACTTGGGCCAGGCACAGTGGCTCACACCTGTATTCTTAGCAGTTTGGGAGGCCAAGGCAGGTAGATTGCCTGAGCCCAGGAGTTCGAGACCAGCCTGGGCAACACAGTGAAACCCCGTCTGTACTAAAATACAATTAGCTGGGCGTGACAGCATGCGCCTGTAGTCCCAGCTACTCGGAAGGCTGAGGCGGGAGAATTGCTTGAACCCGGGAGGCAGAGGTTGCAGTGAACCGAGATTGTGCCACTGCACTTCAGCCTAGGCAACAGAGCGAGACTCCATCTCAAAAAAAATTCTGTTTTGCTGACCTGAATGTAAAACCTTGCTAAACTCACTTAATTCTAAGTATTTCAAAATATTTTATTTGTAGATTCATTAGGATTTGCAGTATACTTAATGCATTATCGATAAGAAATGACAGGTTTATTTCTTCCTTTTCAATTCGTTTACTTGTTTTTCTTCCTTGGCTGTATCTCAGCCCAATTTCAGGGACTGGATTTTTCTTAGTCTTCTAGGTAACTAGAAGTTGGCTGAAGTTTGTAAAAACTTGGGTTTATTTTTAGGATATAGCCCTCATTCTTAACAGTGACACAGTTTGTCTCTCTAGCTTGTAATACATGATGCTTACCCTCCTGCGATGGCCAGAACCAGCATAAAAGTTGACTTAACTCTGGATTTCCATCTTCTTCCAAATCTTCTTTTAATTATTCTTTTTTTTATTTTTTTGAGACGAAGTATTGCTCTGTCGCCCAGGCTGGAATGTGATGGCGTGATCTCGGCTCACTGCAGCCTTTGTCTCCTAGGTTGAAGCAATTCTCCCACCTCAGCTTCCTGGTAGCTGAGATTACAGATGTGCGCCACCAAGCCTGGCTAATTTTTGTATTAGTAGAGATGGGGTTTCACCATGTTAGCCAGACTGGTCTCGAACTCCTGACCTCAAGTGATCTGCCCGCCATGGCCTCCCAAAGTGCTGGGAATGCAGGCATGAGCCACTGCACCCAGCCATCTTTGCATGGTGGCTCATGCCTGTATTCCCAGCACTTTGGGTGGCCATGGTGGGCAGATCACTTGAGGTCAGGAGTTCAAGACCAGCCTGGCCAACATGGTGAAACTCCACTTCTACAAAAAATATGAAAATTAGCCGAGTGTGGTATTGCCCACCTGTAGTCCTAGCTATTCAGAAGGCTGAGGTGGGAGAATCGCTTGAACCTGGGAGGCATAGGTTGTGGTGAGTCAAGATGGTGCCACTGTACTCCAGCCTACACAACAGAGTGAGACTCCATCTCAAAAAAAAAAAAAAGAATCTCCCTCTGTCGCCTAGGTTAAAGTGCAGTGGCATAATCATAGCTTCCTGCAGCCTCGAATTCCTGGGTTCAATTGAGCCCCCTGTCTCAGCCTCCCAGGTAGCTGGGACTAAGGTGTGTGCTACCACACATGGCTAATTTTTGTATTTTTTGTAGAGACAGGGTTTCACCATGTTGCCCAGGCTGGTCTCAAACTCCTGAGCTCAAGTTATCTGCCTGCCTTGGCCTCCCAAAGTGCTAGGATTATAGGTATGACTCACCGTGCCTGGCCCTAGCTAATTTTTTTCAATTTTGTAGATATAGATTCTTGCTATGTTGTCCTGCCTGGCTGTTCTCAAATACCTGGCCGTTCTCAAATTCCTGGCCTCAAGCAGTCCTTCCACTATGGCCTCCCAAAATGCTGGGATTACAGATGTGAGTCACTTCAGCTGGTCAGCTTGATTATTCTTTACCCCCTTGTTGATTCTCTGATTCTTAAAGAAGCTTGTTAAAAATGTTTTGACAGGCCGGGCGCGGTGGCTCACGCCTGTAATCCCAGCACTTTGGGAGGCCGAGGCGGGTGGATCACGAGGTCAAGAGATCCAGACCATCCTGGTCAACACGGTGAAACCCCGTCTCTACTAAAGCTACAAAAAAATTAGCTGGGCATGGTGGCGCGTGCCTGTAATCCCAGCTACTCAGGAGGCTGAGGCAGGAGAATTGCCTGAACCCAGGAGGCGGAGGTTGCGGTGAGCCGAGATCGCGCCATTGCACTCCAGCATGGGTAACAAGAGCAAAACTCCGCCTCAAAAAAAAAAAAAAAAAAATGTTTTGACAGTCTTTTCTAGTTCTGAGCTGGAAAGTAGCCTGAATGACCTAGTCTGTCATTAACTGGAACTTAATTGAGGAGCCATGATTTGAATTCAACTGTCTCTTAACTTCAAAATCTATGCTTTTAACCACTTATTTTATGTATTAATCCATTTTCACACTCCTGAGAAAGACATACCCAAACTGGGCAATTTAAAAAATAAAGAGGTTTTATTGGACTCACAATTCGACGTGGCTGGGGAGGCCTCACAATCATGGCAGAAGACAAGGAGGAATAAGTCATGTCTTACATGGACGGCAGCAGGCAAAGAGAGACTGTGCAGGAAACTCCTGTTTTTAAAACCATCAGATCTTGTGAGATTTATTCACTATCACAAGAACAGCATAGGAAAGTCTTGCCCCTATGATTCAGTTACCTCCGCCAGGTCCCTCCCACAACACGGGAATTCAAGATTTCAAGATGAGATTTGGGTGAGGTCACAGCAACCATATCATTATACTTATTATACTTCGTTGTATTAAATCTAACATAAAGAGTAAAATGTTTATTTTTATGAACTGGACCATAAGAGTAAACATTATTTTATCCTTTATATTTTTATAGTTTACAAGGCAAAAGTCTCAAGACAAAATTTTAAGGCTGGTATTCTATTTTTTGTTCTGTAGTGAAGCAAATAAGCAACATGTAAGATGTCAGAAATGCTTGGAATTTGGACATTGGACTTATGAATGCACAGGAAAAAGAAAATACCTACATAGGCCCTCAAGGACAGCAGAACTAAAAAAAGCTTTAAAAGAAAAAGAAAACAGATTATTATTACAACAAAGGTAGGTTTACATGTGTTATCCAAAGGAATATATTTTTAAATGTATATTTCTAGAATTTATTAAAGGACTAAATGTTTCATGGTGGTTCTCCAGATTTTAATTATATTATTACTAATGTTTAATGGATGCTTGCTATGTGCCAAACACTGTTCTAGGGTCTTTATAAGTATTAGCTTATTTAAACCTGACATCTACACTATTAAGGTAGGTAGTATTACTGTCTTTTTACATATGAAGAAATTGAAGCAAGGAGATGTTGAATGACTTACTCATTGTCACACAGCTAGTAAGAAGAAAAAAATAAGCATTAAATCACGCAGCCTGTGCCCCGGATTCATTGTCTTAATCATTTTGCTCTATTGCCTCAACTGTCAATGAAATGACAGTTGAATTAAGAGATAGATTATATGAGCTGACATAGAAAGCTTTATATATCAGGTATATAAAGAAGGTAGAGAACAGAATATATAATATGCTATGATTTATGTTTATAAAAAGAAAAATTGGCTGGGTGCAGTGGCTCACACGTGTAATCCCAACACTTTGGGAGCCTGAGTGAGGTGGATCACATAAGTCCAGGAGTTCAAGACCAGCCTGGCCAACATGGTGAAATCTCATCTCTACTAAAAATACAAAAATGAGCAGGGTGTGGTAGCGTATGCCTATAATCCCAGCTACTCAGGAGGCTGAGGCAGGAGAATCGCTTGAATCCAGGAGCTGGAGGTTTTGGTGAGCCAAGATTGTGCCACTGCACTCCAGCCTGGGCAATGGAGCAAGACTCTGTCTCAAAAAAAAAAAAAAGGAAAAGCAGCAGCATCTTCATAAGGGTTATTAGTTATATAATAGTGTCTTAAATATTTAGACTTTCAAGGCAGCAGTCTTCCAATTTGTGGACATGAAACTTCTTCAAGAGTTGTGCAGAAATAGGTAAATAACCAATTTCTAGATTATCAACATTTTTTTTTTTTTTTTCCAAGATGGAGTTTCGCTCTTGTTACCCAGGCTGGAGTGCAATGGCGCGATCTCGGCTCACTGCAACCTCCGCCTCCCGGGTTCAGGCAATTCTCCTGCCTCAGCCTCCTGAGTAGCTGGGATTACAGGCACGTGCCACCATGCCCAGCTAATTTTTTGTATTTTTTTAGTAGAGACGGGGTTTCACCATGTTGACCAGGATGGTCTCGATCTCTTGACCTCGTGATCCACCTGCCTCGGCCTCCCAAAGTGCTGGGATTACAGGCTTGAGCCACCGCGCCCGGCCGGTTTATCAACATTTATATGCAATTTTTCCTAAAACAAATCTAGATGAGAACTTCCCTATTGGTCTGCTTTTATACTTCCCCTTTTCCAACAAACCTTCTCTAATCTCACAAAAGAAAGGTATCTCTCTCACCCATCTCTAATCATACTTCAGCGTGTTGTCCTCATGTATAAAAACCTAGATGGTTTTTCAAAATAGTGGTGTTTGTAATGAAAAAGTAAATGGCCATAATAGTTTTGTTTGTTTTGAGATACGGTCTCACTAGGTCTCACTGTGTCACCCAGGCTGGAGTGCAGTCTCTGCTCACTGCAACGTCCACCTCCTGGGTTCAAGTGATCCTCCCACTTCAGCCTCCCAAGTAGCTGAGACTTCAGGTGCATACCACGATGCCTGGCTTATTTTTGTAGAGACGAGATTTTGCCACGTTACCCAGGCTGGTCTCAAACTTCTGAGCTCACGCAATCCACCTGCCTCAGCCTCCCAAAGTGCTGGGATTAGAGGTGTGAGCCACTATGCCCAGCTGGCCATGATTTTTGAGAGTAAATTATTTTTTTAAGGTTTTTCCCCCAGCAAAATTGGTGGGGGTCCTAATTGAATTGTCAATTTAAAAATATTTTTTACTGATAATATTATTATGTGACTTGTGGAATGTAACATAGAAGGAATGCAGAGAATTGAGTGATAGTCAAGTAAGAAGTCTTTCCATTCCCATGATTCTATTTAGATTAAGGTTTCTCCAGGTTAAATCTGTAAAACTTAAAAATAATTTAATTCCCAAAGAGCCATCTCTATTGAAAAAATAAAATTTAAAAATAGGAATTTAGCCAGGCGTGGTAGCTCATGCCTGTAATCCTAGTGTTCTAGGAGGCTAAGGCGGATGGATCACGAGGTCAGGAGTTCAAGACCAGCCTGGCTAATATGGTGAAACCCTGTCTCTATGAATAATACAAAAAAAAATCAGCTAGGCATGATGGCACATGTCTGTAGTCCTAGCTACTCGAGAGGCTGAGGCAGAAGGATTGCTTGAACCCAGGAACAGACGTTGCAGTGAGCCGAGATTGTGCCACTGCACTCCAGCCTGGGTGACAGAGTGAGACTCTGTCTCAAAAAAAAAAAAAAAAAGAATTTAATTGATGTCAAACCTTGTCACATTCTACTATGAAGAGTTTTTATTTATGGATATATAAACTAGAAAAAAATCTGTCATTAGGAAATGCATTTCTGGACCAGGCACAGTAGCTCATGCCTGTAATCCCAGTACTTTGAGAGGCTGAAGTGGGTAGATCACTTGATGTCAGGAATTCGAGACCAGCCTTTCCAACATGGCAAAACCCCATCCCTACTAAACATACAGAAATTAGCTGGGCACGGTGGTGTGCACCTTGTAATTCCAGCTACTTGGGAGGCTGAGGCAGGAGGATCGCTTGAACCCGGGAGGCAGAAGTTGCAGTGAGCTGAGATAACACCACTGCACTTCAGCCTGGGTGATAGAGCGAGACTCTTATACACACACACACACACACACACACACACACAGATATACGTTACCAATAATGTAACAGTTATTAAAATTTATAATATTGTCCAGCTGTGGTGGCTCACACCTGTAATTCCAGCACTTTGGGAGGCCAAGACAGGAGGATCACTTGAGGCCAGGAGTCTAAGACCAGCCTAAGCAACACAGCAATATTCTGTTCCTTAAAAAAAAAAAAGTTAGCTGGATGTGGCGGGATCACGTCTGTGATCCCAGCTAATTGGGATACTGACTTGGAGGATTGCTTCAACCCAGGAGGTCAAGGTTAGAGTGAGCTGTAATTGCACCACTGTACTCCAGCCTGGGTGACAGAATGAGACCCTGTCTCAAAAGAAGAATTTTTAAACTTTTTCTTTTTTGGGGGATGGAGTCTCACTCTGTTGCCCAGGCTGGAGTGCAGTGGCATGATCTCGGCTCACTGCAACCTCTGCCTCCTAGGTTCAAGCCATTCTCCTGCCTCAGCCTCTCAAGTAGCTGGGACTACAGGTGTGTAGCACCAAGCCCAGCTAATTTTTTGTATTTTTAGTAGAGATGGGGTTTCACCATTGTTAGCCAGGATGGTCTCAATCTCCTGACGTTGTGATCTGCTCGCCTCAGCCTTCCAAAGTGCTGGGATTACTGTATAGGCGTGAGGCAACACACCAGAAGTATACTTCCCTCTCTTGTTTTTTTTTTTTTTGTCCCACACGTAAAGATCCCCCTCTTATTTTACTCCCAAACTGACAATTCAGTAAGTAATTCCATTGTGTAAAAAACTTCACATAAATACACATTTATGTTTGGAGACTCAGGCAATAAGGACAGAAACATTATCTAGGAAATATAGAGAGGGCCAGAATATAAAAACGTTGGCCATGTGTGGTGGCTCACACCTGTAATCCCACACTTTGGGAGGCTGATCAGCTTGCTGGAGCTCAGGAGTTCCGGATCAGCCTGGGCAACATGGTAAAACCCCGTCTGTACAAAAAATGCAAAAATTAGCTAGGGGTGGTGGTAAACACTTGTAGTCCCAGCTACTCAGGAGGCTGAGGTGGGAGGATTGCTTGAACCTGGGAGGCAGAGGTTGCAGTGAGCCAAGATCGTGCCACTGCACTCCAACCTGGGTAACAGTGATACCCTGTCTCAAAAAGAAAAAAAAAAAGTTAAATTTACAGGACTGTGGTGATATAATTAATTCTGGGGGGTTTTGTTATTGTTGTTTTGAGACAGGGTCTTGCTCTGTCTCAAGCTGGAGTGCAGTGGCACAATCTCGGCTCACTGCAACCTCTACCTCCCAGGTTCAATCAATTCTTCCACCTCAGTCTCCCAAGTAGCTGGGATTACAGGTATGTGCCACCACGCCTGGCTAAATTTTGTATTTTTTTAGGAGAGACCAGGTTTCACCATGGCCAGGCTGGTCTCAAACTCCTGACCTCAAGTGATCTGCACGCCTCAGCCTCCCAAAGTGCTGGGATTACGAGTGTGAGCTACCGCACCTGGCCTAATGCTTAATTTAAAAACCTGATTTAGCACGCATGTTGTTTGGCAGAATAGCAGCAGCAAGCCGTTTGTTCCTTTCATTCAGATTTACCAGACTTTGTTCTTTGTAAATAATGTGAGTGAGGCCAGGTGCAGTGGCTAATGCCTGTAATCCCAGCACTTTGGGAGGCCAAGGGGGGCAGATCACCTGAGGTCAGAGTTCAAGACCAGCCTGGCCAACATGGTGAAACCCTGTCTCTACTAAAAAATGCAAAAATTAGCTGTGCATAGTGATGGGCATCTGTAATCCCAGTTATTCGGGAGGCTGAGGCAGGAGTATTGCTTGAACCCAGGAGACAGAGGTTGCAATGAGCCAAGATCTCACCACTACACTCAAGCCTGGGCAACAGAGTGAGACTTCGTCTCAAAAAAAAATAAGAATAATGTGAATGAACGTAGTCTTGAAGTATTAAATTTCTGGTCTTTAAGGAGTAAATAACTCAACAGTCGGGGGGGCTTGTGGAAAAATAAATAGGTTTTTTTAAATTAAAGAGCTGCTTTTGAAAAATTATGAAATGGCTATTTATATGATTCTGTGAACTCAAACTACAAATTATAGCTATTGTGCTATTTGCTTTGTTCTGTTATTCAGTAAGCAGTGATGTAGCTATGTCAACTTAAGTTCCTGACTAAAACAATTTAATTATCTTAACTACTAACATACCTGACTTTTATACAGGTGGTAAGATACATCTGTCTTAGATGCTGGTTAAGTTGACTGCATGTACCATATACAGCCTACAATAGCATACCTTCCACTTGCTTATAACAAGAACTACTGTACTCTACATGTTACAAAAATACAGAATGTTTCTCCAGTGTAAAATGGTTTTGGGGATAGCAGAAGGGTTTGTCTGAGCTGTATATAATCACCCTATTAACAGGAATTTTTTTCCCCTCTCATGTTTATCAGCATTGGAGAAACCACTGTAGAAAGAAAGACCAAGAAAAAAAGGTATGTGTGGTTTTGGGAGTATTTTACAGATAATACGTAATACTAATTGGAGGGATGGGAAAGGTGATTTTAAAATAGCTATAAGATTTGGATCTGAAGTCTCTTATTGCAATTCATAATTAAATAATCCTATTTTCTGATAACTTCCTTTTTTTAACCTGTCTGGACTGTATTGCTTCCATTTCTCCTTTTACTCAACTTTCTAGAGTCCTTATACCTGGAAACAATAAGTAATTGTCTTCCTTTGGCTTAAAATAGGAAATGTTAATAGACTAATAGGAAATTGTTGGCCAGCCATATCTGGTCCAAAGTAGTTAAAATAAAGATGATGAAATAGTAACAAGCTATATGAGGTTTAAATAGACCCAGTTGTTACATTGCAGCTTTATTCTAACATTATCACCTCTGAAATATAATATGGTAGATATTCTTATCTTGAATTCCAACCAAGAGAATTAAGTTGCTGAAGCAACAATATCTTACAAAGAGAGGAGTGTGGTTTACAACAGTTAGGCAATCCCCAAAACATCAAACCAAAGGATAACATGCTAGCAAAGCTTCAGTATATACATATATATATAATTGGAATCATGTAAAATTGCCTTTGGCCAGGCATGATGGCTCATGCCTGGAATCCCAGCACTTTGGGAGGCCAAGGCAAGTGGGTCACTCAGTCAGGAGTTCAAGACTAGCCTGGCCAACATGGTGCAACCCCGTCTCTACTAAAAATACAAAAATTAGCTGGGCATAGATACACGCGTGTGTTATCCCAGGTACTTGGGAGGCTGAGGCAGAATTGCTTGAAACTGGGAGGCGGAGGTTGCAGTGAGCCAAGATTGCGCCACTGCACTCCAGCCTGGGCAACAGAGCAAGACTCCGTCTCAAAAAGAAAATAAAAAAGAAATTGCTTTTAACATTCTATTACATGTCACCTTCCCATATATTTAACTGTGTATTGTCTAATAGGTCTAAGAGTGTGACCAGTTCAAGTAGCAGTAGCAGTGACAGTTCAGCCAGTGATTCTTCATCAGAAAGTGAAGAAACATCTACCTCATCCTCCTCAGAGGACAGTGACACTGACGAAAGCTCCTCTAGTTCCTCATCCTCAGCCTCCTCCACAACCTCTTCCTCCTCCTCTGATTCAGACTCAGATTCCAGCTCTTCTAGTAGCAGCAGCACCAGCACAGACAGCAGCTCTGAGGATGAACCACCAAAGAAGAAGAAAAAGAAATAGTTGTTCCATCCATATTGGACTGATGGACTGAAAACATTAATGTGATTCTCGAAAGGGAATTTAGAATATGTTAAGGCCAAATAGGTTAACTGATGAACATTTTTAGAATTCAAAAGTTTCTAAATGTTTTACATTGCAAGAGCATAGAGTATTAATAATGAATTATATATAGAGAGAGACTTTTTTATTTGAAGGGTGAATCTTGTTTTTCTTTTTTATCTTTAAAATATATCTCTAGAACTTAATCAAAGCTGAAATCTCCAAATCTGTTTGTGTGATGAAACTGTCTTTTCTTTTTGTGAAATAAATGCCATACTTTGTTATATATGTTAGTGGTATATGCCAGACAGGGTGGTGCATCAGAATATTTGGCAGTGAATTTCTAATGCTTTTGGCTATGTGTTACGTAAGATTTAATATGTTGTTACTGTAAGCTTAGGAGTTTTCTTATTGTTAATAAATGTGCTCTATTTTTACATTTATGTTCAGAAAGTTATTCTGATGTTTTGTCCTAAGTGGTATGTTCAAGGAGCCTATTAATATAGTTTCTGAATGCTACAGTTTTCAAGTTGCTGTGTTACCTCATTCATTTTCTTCTGGTTCCTTAAGTTTTTCAAGTTATCCTTTTCTGAGGAAAATTATTCTAGAGGAACCTAAAAAGGGATAAAAAATCTGAAACTACTTAGGAGTCTAATCTCGGTGCCTTCTGATAAAGTCAGTGTATCAGAAAAGAAAGCAGCCATGTAAGAGGCTAACTTTAAGTAGAAGTGCTAGAAATATCTTTATGTATTACATGCAATAAAAGGTACCATTCAAAGCGGGGGAAAGGTAGGAGGAAGAGGTAATTTTTACTGCAAATTAGGGCAGCCTCGGTCACCTTTTATTAAAAGCTTTTTTAAGCTTTCATAAAGATTGCCTTTTGTTATTTTTGCAATTATGGTATTATAGTTTATATGCTAACTAGTCATGTAACAGTCTACTGCATAAATATGAATGACTAGGATTAATCTGGTGTGTTTACATAGGATATACATAGTGGAAATCTAGCATAAAAGGTTAAAAAGGAAATACTGCACAATATTTCTTAAAAGTAAAATGCTGTTATTGTGGCGAGACACTTTGGTTTAACATCACAGTATTCTGTGATGTCTTTTTAACTTTTTGGAAAGAGGTATCATTTGTAGAAAAATTTTGATTTGGGTTAAATATAGGTTTTTAAAATTATAAATGTCTATTTTTATGAAAAAGCAGTAGAAAATTACTTTTGAAGAAAATGAGCTATTTAAATATTAAAATATATGTATGTTGTGAGTTTAGGGAACCTGTAATTACTTGTCAGTTTTACAAAACCATCTGTGTTCAGTGGTTGTAAATAAATTCTCAAAACATGATTTCAAAAGCTGCCTACAGAATATTATCACTTGACAGATAAAGTTAATAAATTACCAATCAGGCACATTTGATAATGTTTGTCTCTGTAAAGGTAATGTTAGCAGTTAAAGAACATGGATGAGAAAAGAATGTGTTACATAGGTTGCATCACTTGCAGTTAAATAAAACTCACAATTTGTGCTCACAAGCTTAAGCTTCTGTTACCTCTTTACTGTTTTAGTTAATCCCAATTCTTATTCCATTTGAGCTGTAAGGGCATTTGAACAAATTCTAATTTTAAAGTTTTACTATTACGGCTGTTAAAAGTATGACTGGGCCAGATGCGGTGGCTCACGCCTGTAATCCCAGCATCGGGAGGCCGAGGCAGGTGGATCATGAGGTCAGGAGTTCAAGACCAGCCTGGCCAAGGTGGTGAAACTCCATCTCTACTAAAAAAAAAAAAAAAATAGCCAGGCACAGTGGTGGGCGCCTGTAATCCCAGTTACTCAGTAGGCCGAGGCAGGAGAATCGCTTGAACCCCAGAGGCAGAGGTTGCAGTGAGCCAGGATTGCACCACTGGGCTCTAGCCTGGGCAAAAGAGCAAGACTGCTCAAAAAAAAAAAAAAAAGTATGACTAGAGAGGTACAGAGAGCAGGAGCTCAATTCTTCTAGCCACACATTTCATTCAAAAAGACAGAATCAGGCTGGTCACAGTGGCTCATGCCTGTAATCCCAACACTTTGGGAGGCACAGATGGGAGAATCACTTGAGTCCAGGAGTGTGAGACCAGCCTGGGCAACATAGTAAGACTTCTTCTCTACAAAAAATTGAAAAATTTGTTGGGCATGGTGGTGTGCCCCTATAGTCTCAGCTACTCAGGAAGCTGTGGCAAGAGAATCACTTGAGCTGAGGAGGTTGAGGCTACAGTGAACTATGATTGTGCCACTGTAGTCCAGCCTGGGTGACAGAAAAAAACAAAAAACAGAATCAATGGCAAAGTGGATACTAACTTCGAAAAGTTTTGTTTTTAGTCCTGCCTAAAATCAGGACTCTGGGAGTTGAGTCGAGTCCCTGGCAAATACAGTGAGTATATTACTCAACCACAATTATAGTGAGTATATTACTTAACTACAGTCATATCAAAAGGAGTCATTAGATGATAGGTTTTCATTCCACACACATGTTGTTATTAATAGACTATACAATATACAGATTTTACCCTAGAATGAACATACAGCATTAGCCATAAGTTAACACTGGAAGTGGAAAAAATGCAGAGAGTCATATGTATTCTTTTTAAATTTTGAACTGTAGATTTACAGAAAAGTTGCAAAAATAATACAATTCCCTTATAAACCTCATCTAGCTTCCCACAGTGTTAACATCTTACGTAACCATGGCACAATTGCCAGAATGAAGAAATTAACATCTAGTGAAACACTATTTTTTTGGGGGGCCTTCACTCTTGTTGCCCAGGCTGGAGTGCAATGGCATGATCCTGGCTCACCACAACCTCTGTCTCCTGGGTTCAAGCGATTCTGCCTCAGCCTCCCAAGTAGCTGGGATTACAGGCATGCACCACCACGCCCAGCTAATTTTATATTTTTAAGAGAGACAAGATTTCACCACACTGGTCAGGCTGGTCTTGAACTCCCAACCTCAGGTGATCCACCCGCCTCAGCCTCCCAAAATGCTGGGATTACAGGCGTGAGCCACCACGCCCAGCCAAAATAGTACTTTTTAAGGACATCCTGTTATAGCACAGTAAAATAGTATTAAACTGGAAACCTTATTCATATTTTGCTCATCTTCCCACTAATATCCTTTTTCTGTTCCAGAATGCTACCCAGAAAATACATTTAGTTACTTCTACCTTTACTACAGTCTCCATACTTCAGTGTTAACTTGTTTTTCATGGCCTTGACACTTTTGAAAAATTATTTTGTCTAACACCCCTCAATTTGGGTTTGACTGCGCGCAGTGGCTCGCACTTCTAATCCCAGCACTTTTGGGAGACCAAGTGGGTGGATCATTTGAGGTTAAGAGTTCAAGACCAGCCTGACTGACATGCTGAAACCCCATCTCTACTAAAAATAACAAAAAAATTCCCAGCACTTTGGGAGGCCGAGGCGGGTGGATCACGAGGTCAAGAGATCGAGACCATCCTGGTCAACACGGTGAAACCCCGTCTCTACTAAAAATACAAAAAATTAGCTGGGCATGGTGGCGCGTGCCTGTAATCCCAGCTACTCAGGAGGCTGAGGCAGGAGAATTGCCTGAACCCAGGAGGCGGAGGTTGCGGTGAGCCGAGATCGCGCCATTGCACTCCAGCCTGGGTAACAAGAGCGAAACTCCGTCTCAAAAAATAAAAAAAAAATAAAAATAACAAAAAAATTATTGAGGCATGGTGGCACATGCCCGTAGTCCCAGCTACTCAGGAAGCTGAGGGAGGAAAATTGCTTGAACCTGGGAGGCAGAGGTTGCAGTGAGCCAAGATCTTGCCATTGGACTCCAGCACGGGTGACAGAGCGAAACTGTCAAAAAAAAATTGGTTTTGTCTGATGTTTTCTTGTGATTGAGGTTATGCTTTTTGGAAGAATACCACCGAAATAAAGTGTCCTCAGTCAATCATATGAGATTCATAATGTTCATATGTCTTCTTTATTACTGGCGATGTTGACCTTGATCACTTGATTAAGGTGGTTCCAGGCTGGGTGCGGTGGCTCATGCCTGTTATCCCAGCACTTTGGGAGGCCAAAGCGTGCAGATTGCTTGAGCTCAGGAATTCAAGACTGGGCAACATGGCAAAACCCCATTTCTACAAAAAAAACACAAAAATTATGCCTGGTACAGTGGCTCATGCCTGTAATCCCAGCACTTTGAGAGGCTGATGTGGGTGGATCACCTGAGGTCAGGAGTTTGAAACCAGCCTGGGCAACATGGTGAAACCCCACCTCTACTAAAAATACAAAAATTAGGCTGGACGCAGTGCTTCAAGCCTGTATCTCAGCACTTTGGGAGGCCAAGGTACGTAAATCACGAGGTCAGGGTATAGAGACCTTCCTGGCTAACACAGTGAAACCCTGTCTCTACTAAAAATACAAAAAATTAGCCGAGTGTGGTGGTGGGCACCTGTAGTCCCAGCTACTCAGGAGACTGAGGCAGGAGAATCACTTGAACTCAGGAGGTGGAGGTTGCAGAGAGTGGAGGTCATGCCGCTGCACTCCAGCCTGGGCAACAGAGTGAGACTCCGTTGCAAAAAAAAAAAAAAATTAGCTGGGCACAGTGACACATGCCTATAATCCCAGTTACTCGGAAGGCTCAGGCAGGAGAATTGCTTGAATCTGGGAGGCGGACGTTGTGCCATTGCACTCTAGCCTGGGTGACAGAAAGAAACTCTGTCTCCAAAAAAAAAAAAAAAATTAACCAGCTGTGGCTGGGTGCAGTGGCTCACACCTGTAATCCTAGGAGTTCAAGACCAGCCTGACCAACATGGTGAAACCCCATCTCTACTAAAAATACGAAAATTAGCTGGGTGTGGTGGTGGGAGCCTGTAATCGCAGCTACTCAGGAGGCTGAGGCAGGAGAATTTCTTGAACCTGGGAGGTGGGGGTTGCAGTGAGCTGAGACCAGCCCCTGCACTTCAGCATGGACGACAGAGTGAGACTCATGCCTAAAAAAAAAAAAGAAAGAAAGAAAGAAATTAGCCAGGCATGGTGGTATGCATTTGTAGTCTCAGCTACTGGGGAGGAAAAGGTAGGAGGATGGCTTGAATAGGTAGGAGGAGGCCCAGGCTACAGTGAGCTGAGATTGTGCCACTGCACTCCAGACTGAGCAAAAGTACCAGACCTTGTTTCAAAAAAAAAAAAAGAGCCAAGCATGTGACATCGCTTGAGCCCAGGAAATGCAGGCTTCAGTGAGCCGAGATCAGGCCACTGCATTGCAGCCTGCTTGACAGAGTAAGACCTTAACCAAAAAAAAAAAAAAAAAAAAAAAAAAAGGTTATTATCAGATTTTTCCACTGTAGTTTACTACCTTTTCCTTTTTAGCTAATAGATAATTTAGGGAAGATATTTTGAGAATGTGCAACTTGTTTCTCCTGAAACTCACTAGTTTTAGTGAATCATTGGACCTTATCTACAATAATTATTACTATACTATCATCCTTTCCAAACGATGGTTTTATTTCCTTTTTTTTTTTTTTTTTTTTTTTTGTAGAGATGGGGTTTCACCATGTTGGCCAGGATGGTCTCGATCTCTTGACCTTGTGATCCACGAGCCTTGGCCTCCCAAAGTGCTGGGATTACAGGCATGAGCCACTGCACCCGGCCTTCTTTTCTTTTTTATTTTTTTGAGGAGTCTTGCTCTGTCACCCAGGCTAGAGTGTGGTGGCATGATCTCAGCCCACTGCAGCCTCCGCCTCCCAGGTTCAAGTGATTCTCCTGCCTCAGCCTCTCAAGTAGCTGGGATCACAGTTGCCCACCACCAGGCCTAGCTAATTTTTGTATTTTTAATAGAAACGGGGTTTCATCATGTTGGCCAGGCTCATCTCGAACTCCTGACCTAAGGGTGATCCCCCCAACCTCGGCCTACCAAAGTTCTGGGATTACAGGCGTGAGCCACTATGCCCGGCCCCAAATGAGGATTTTTGTTGTTATTTGAGCTGGAGTTTCATTCTTGTTGCCCAGGATGGAGTGCAGTGGCATGATCTCGGCTCACTGCACCCTTTGCCTTTAGGGTTCAAGCAATCCTCTTATCGCAGTCTCCTGAGTAGCTGGGATTACAAGCATGTGCCAACACATCCAGCTAATTTTTGTCTCAACTAAAAATACAAAAATTGGCCGGGCACGGTGGCTCACGCCTGTAATCCCAACACTTTGGGAGGCTGAGGTGGGCGGATCGCGAGGCCAAGAGATCGAGACCATCCTGGCCAACATGGTGAAACCCCATCTCTACTAAAAATACAAAAATTAGCCAGGCATGGTGGCATACACCTGTGGTCCCAGCTACTCGGGAGGCTGAGACGGAAGAATCGCTTCAACCCAGGGGACGGAGGTTGCAGTGAAGCGAGATTGCGCCACTGCACTCCAGCCTGGTGACAGAGCAAGACTCCGTCTCAAAAAAAAAAAAAAATACAAAAATTAGCTGGGCATGGTGGCACATGTCTGTAATTCTAGCTACTTGGGAGGCTACAACAGGAGGATAGTCATTT